GTGCTTTAATGTTCTTGAAAAAGAAGTATTTATATAGCATTTTAGTCATTGTTATATCACCTAGCTCTTCATAATAGAAAATAAACTATTCTACCTAACTCCAAAGCTGAGTCATAACTAATTTGCCTCTATATTATGATAAATATCCTATGATTTTTCTTTAACATTGTTGCTGACCTGCCACAATTGGTAGGCATTGTTTTTGACTGGTGAATCCACATGTTGTACTTGTAAGTGTCAATTAAAGACAAAAATCTATAAGAAGTTAGCTTGAATAATGCTTTCTCATGCAAACCTACTTAAAGCTTAATGTTCAAACTCTATAAGTTATACAGAAACGGGATTTCACACTTGAAAATTTAAGGCTGCAATGTGTTCCAACCTTTCAGGACCTTGCATTCATTTTAAATCACAAGATGCAGGAATTTATTAGAGTTTGATGTGCAAGTGATGGCGTGCTTAATATGTTATATGAGCATGGTGTCCTCTAATGCTCCCTGGACCAACATAAAAACAAAAGTTGCATCTCATTGGAACTGTTGAAACACAAAAATTTTAATAAATAAGAATTACGGTGCAATAAAATTCATCATTATGTGAGGAATTGGGATAGCACTAAATGTCTTTGGGAACTCATATTATTCTTTTGCTCTCCCTGTTTCTATTCCATTCTACCACTGTAATGAATTCTTTACATATTTCTTAGGGGGATTTTAAAATCTAAATTATCCCCAAATCCCTTTTTCTGTAAAACTATTTCAGGATTAAAATTTAAGATTATTTTCTTCTTTCAAACTAGCACTGTCTACCTAGATTTTACACTGTACAGAAATTTACAAATGTTATTATGGTTCTGACCTTTTCTTCCCTGTCTGTCTTCTGTAGCAGATGCTGCCAGTGTCCTGCCTGGAGACCCTTGGCACTTAGACCAACGTACATGGAAATGGTATTTCTAACTGCCAGAATCTGTGATTCTGTCTGAGGATGCTCTCTGGCCCCATGAGCCTGATCTTTCCTGAGTCAGACTGGAAGTGCCAAGGTATTTCTGTCACCCAGGAACAGCAGTTAACCAATGACTTTTGGGTATTGGTCCATAAATAACTCCTCCAATGTCACTTTTTAGGTAGAATAAATGAAGTTCGTGTTCTATTTTGGCTCCCAGATTTTACCAGTGGGACTCTTTTTTTAGCTTCCATAGCTTTCCTTTCTTACTTTTCTACTGCCCTCCTGAAGTTTCCTGGAATCACCTCCAAATAAACTGCCTGTGTCTAAATCCTTGGAATACGGTAGTTTCTTGGGAATCCAAAGACTTATCACATGCTCCTCCTGAAAATGACATTACTATGGAAAAGGCACTGATTAACTAAAGAAATGCATGATTTACTGAGGTGGATTTAGCTTTACTGAATAATTAGAGAATTCACAAATATTCAAATTCACATATTTGTTATAATAAAACTTAATAAAAATTAGCTCACTGATGGCTTGTCTAATTTATTTAAATGTTTAGATTAGAGTGGGAGTTGCAACTGTTAGTAAAAACATGGTGACAGATAATGTTTATTGCACTCTTACAAAATATATGTTTTATATGTACTAATTTCTCACAGCATTCCTATTAGATTGGAACTATTATTATCATCAGTATTTTCAAGGAAGAAACAGAGGAATGGGAAGTTCAATAACTGGCTAAGATTAGTATCTGTAAGTGTTAGAGATGGGCTTATAACCAAGCTGAACTTACCTGAGCCTCCAATCCTAAATGCTCTAACTGATTAGAGTTTTATTTCCAGGCAAGGGATGAAGGTCAACCATACATTTTGAAGGTTTCTACAAATATTTTTAAATCTATGATTAAATACAAGTGAGTCTGAGAACACACCATTGTTTTCACAGGCAAGCTGGGTGACAAGTAAATCATGTTAACGGCAAGTCAGACCTGTTTGCAAAGGTATGTCCTGAGAAACTGAAGTTGGTATTAGAATTCTCAGGCACTGACTGTACTATTCTCTTTCTTGAGACTAAGATTTTGTTTTAGAAACTGTATTGGTCCATTTCTGTTCCTTATAACAAAATACCTGAAGTGGGTGATTTATAAAGAAAAAAAA